TTTAAATGACAAGGTAATGTAAATTGCAAGAATTTAAACTTACACTAAGAAAAGGAAGAACTCGCTACACTAGGTGCATGAAAAGTAAAATCCTAAGTCTAGGAAAAGAAAAGTGCGAGACGAAAGATAGGTTTGTCTGTCTGATGTTGTGTGTCTTCTGTCTTCATCGAACAAGGTTTATATAGGGCGCTCATCAGCCCATGGGCTGGCCATTGAATGGCCAAATGTCAACTCTTCTTAAAAATCTTTCCTTTCGAATCCCTCCTACATCCGTGGGATTGTATTGATTGAAATATTCTGACATGCTTGATTCTTCCTCCTTTTGGAACACTCGGAGTTACTATCAAATTCCTTGATTTCTTTCCTTGCAAAGCCTTTGTCACGTGCATATGATCCTCCGAAAATCTGGGCTTGAATTGGTGGCTTAAACTTGGGCCTTTGATTTTATTATAATTTTATTACATATATTATATAAATGTAAAACAATACAAGAAGGGCCAACCCTCTCAGTCCGGCTGCCCATTCTTATTCATTCATATATATATATATATATGTTGTATAAATAAGCCACCGATCTGTAAGGGCTCCAAAATTGGTCCGCCAAGAAACCTTAATTCAATCTTCTATACTCATCTATATATATATATATTAAATTACACACGTGGGCCCCTTGGTTATTGAAGTCGGCGGCACCAAGCATGAATTTTTACATGCATGAACATTAGTGTATATGTGGCTGGGCCAGCAACTTGGGTTTTATAATTCATATATATGTATATAATATATATATTAGACTTTAACTTTGAAACCCTTCAACCTGACTTGCAATACACCTACAGACTTCAGCCGCATAGTTCTAATATTCCAAAAAACCTCGGCCGCAACTATTTCATTTGAAACCTGGCCGCATTTTTAACACAACTTGGCCTAGCTTTCCAGCCGCCAACCAACCAAAAATCCTGCCCAAGAAATCTGTAGCTTCCGGCCGCCAAGACTGCTGAACATCCAGCCGCAACTTGCTAGCCCAAGCTCCTTCGACCGCGGCCGGCCTCCAAAAACCCGGCCGAGATCTCCAACAGCCCCGACCGTGAGTTTTAGCCATTCCAGCCGTACACTCCAGCCACTATCGAACTGCCCGGCTACATCTCGTAAGGCCCGGCCTTTTCTGGCCGTGCCCCTCAATTTTGCAAGCCCGGCTTGCCCAACGAAGTCCAGCCGCAATTCTTCTCGTGCCCATTTTTCCTAGCTCCATCCAGCTGCAAGTTTGTGCATCCCGGATTGCTACGGCCCCCAAAGTTCAACGGCTACCCAATTCCGCAATTGAGAAGCCCGGCCAATTTTCGTGCTTTCAGAAATTGCCCAAGTTAGGTGGATTTCTACCACCCCTAAACATTGCCCCCCGAGAATTGTTACTTAGGTGAAAGGGGTAAATTTAAAGCTTACTCAAACAGATTGTTAACAACAATAATCAAATAATCTTGGAGACAATATAACTAGTCAACAACTAGTCATAGGCCTATGAACAAGTAAGCAAAACACATAAGTAACCCAGATCAACAATTAGCACCTGCAAACCTAGAAGAATTCTAGTGACAACCTAGGCATTCAAAAGGACCCATCAATCTAGGCATCCCCTGTGCTAGCAACAACTAAAGTATAGAGTGTGTGAACATCCATTCAATCATAATAGAAATACTTAGTAGATTATGACTAGTCAACAGTCAAGAACATTAAACCCAGAAAATTGTTCACCCAGAAACCCACCATTGGGAAAAACTGGGGGTCATCATCCAACTAGGCAATCCACTAAGAAAAGAAGGTTCTTACAAATATTACAACCACAAGCTCAAGAATCCTAGGTCTATTTAGGAAAAGCTATACCTCTTTGTGCAACCTTCTTCTCCAAGCTTAGAAAGAACTAGCAGCTAGTCTTTCATGGAATTGGCAGCTAGTCCATCAGCTCTTTCACTCCATGACACCAGTGGCTTAGCTCTCAAAGAACACATGAAGGCAACTGTAGATTCTAAGGAAAAATTGATTTATTTAAGAAAACATTCTTAAAGAAATTGATTTGAGAATCTGACCTAGATCTAGATGAGAATATGATTGACTATTCTAGATGCATATCAAGCGCGGAATTTGTTGATTTTCAACCTTTTTTCTTCCAGATAAGGAAATCATATTTTGTCTATCCAGGGAAACTCCTCATTCAAGTTTAAAACCCAAGTCTCCAAGTTGTAAGATCATGTACAAGGGCCGGCGCATGCCCAATGTCGGTGGTCAGAATAAGTAAAATAAGGTGGTGTATAAACCATTCTCGGCCCATTTTTCTCCGCCTATCCGGAGGAAGTGACGAGGGTATGGGTGACGCAGCCGAGGAATGGCCCAATTTATTTTTCAGACTTCACATGGGCAACCGTTTGGGAGAGCACCAAACCATTCAAAGGTTGGCCAACGGGAGGCCCCATAAAAAAGGATTCCGCCCCAAGTAAAGAAGCTCTTTCAAAGAAAGCATCATCCGCCGCCGGGAAGCCCGACCACTCAAGCTCGGCGGATGGAAAGTTTGATTGGTATCATTGGTTCAAGGCATTGGAACCAAAATTGAAGGGCCATTGGAAGAAAATTGGAATATATGATACATTACTCCTATGTGCGGGGAGCCCCTTTCCTTGCGACCGATCTCTCATCATTGTGGTCCTATGCTTTTGGTCTTCTGTTGCGTAGATTTAGCTCCACCAAAATGGATTAAGCTGCATCCTCAACTTGTGATACTCGCAAGTGCACGAGCCGTTGGTAGTTT